AGAATTCAAATATGCAAATTGTTTTTCATAATTATAAATTGATCCTCCTGGGTAGGGTTTTTAAGATTGTATCTCAGAAACAAAACTGTTGGTGCTTTTTAGTCAATAAAAATTGAACAAAATAAAAGAAACCATCTTTTTAAACCAATAAAAGACTGAATAAGCCTTATAAGCTTATAGCCAATAGTTCTTTAAGATATTTATTACTAATTTGTAATATTTTACTGCCTGGTAGAAACTAATAAAAAATAAGTGAATTACATACAAATTTAGTATATTTGATAATAGCATAACATGTTACTGTAATAACCTATAACTTAGACTATCCAACTTTATAGTTGGCATTTGAGTAAGTACAGTCAATTTGAAGTTTGGCAGGTATTCTATACCTTTATCATTAAAATAAGCTTTAAACTATAAGTCAATAATTATACAATTACAAGATTTCAAAAATAAAATCGCTATGCTATTTAAATACTTTCTAATAGTCTTCTATGAATTTAGTGAGTATGTTAGCTAATCAATATCAATCTTTGATTAGAATAATATGATTATATTAATCATTATAAGAGTTATTCATAATAGTTATAGTATTTTCATTATACTATCATCCAATACGAGACTAGTGTTTAATCAAACTCTCAGGCTTCACATGATATTTTAATCTCCTAACCTGAGTGCATATAATAGCAAATTTCAAGCTGTCCTGATTACTGATACTTATTATTTAGATACATAATAAAGACATCTAGTTCTTAATCAACCATTCTACTACTAATTATAAGACAAGTATATAATATAGAATACCTGTCTCCGTATTTCAAAAATTGGGCTTCTTGTATTGATAGATATTGTGAGATAGATTTTAAAAGATCAGAGTTATAGGTTATCATAGGAGTGAGTTATACTAGTATCAAATACTCTAAATTTGTATGTAATTTACTTACTTTCTATTAGCATCTGCTAGATATTATAAAATTGAAAAAAGGTAATAAGCAATAGTAATAACTATTCACTATAAGCCTATATGACTTATTCAATCTCTTGAATCAACTACAAAGATACTTCTGGTATATTGTTTTGATTTTATTTGCAAGAAAATCATAGCAAATTCATTTAAAAGAAACAGTTTTAGAAATGTTGTACAAGAAAAATTCATAATTATGAAATACAATTTACATATTGTAATTCTTCATATTCCAAAGCACTTACTGATAAGATTTCATGGTGGTCACATAATTATTTGTAGATATAATCAAAGATGTATTTCATTTTCTACTAGTTGCCATGAGTGATCCCCATGCTGGTGAAGAGCTGCTTCCCTGTAAACGACATTAATATTCAGCCCATGGAGAACTTGGAAGAGAGAAATATTCGAAAAGAAATTATCCATGAAGATATTGAACTGACAGGTCTAGTATGGAATTGCCTGAAGTAGCTGATAGATCACAGCAGAGGTAGGAGTAAGGTGAATTGGTTCTGTATATGCAACTTGCTCTGCAATACCAGTAGTAGAAGAGGTATAAAACTAATTAATAGTATACCCTTGCCAACATAGTGCAAGAATCCTATAGTCCTCACTAATTGGCTTGTTTGGTATATGGTATGTATGCTTACTTCTCCCACTGAACCTAACCATCATCTCATCTATAGCTAAATTTGATTCCAGCTGTAGTGCATGCTGAAACTGCTTCCTCAAAAGGGAATGCACTGGTTCAACCTTCTTCCACTATTCAGAACTCGGTCATCAGCCAAGATAGATAGGTTTAATATGTAGGTATCATTTGATTTGCTGAAATCGTACCAGCCCAAGGCCCTTAATCTCTCTTTTTCTACTAAAATCTAAGCCCCACCAGAATTCAACCAAATTCTGACATCAATAGACACTCATTCTCACCACCTGTGCTATAAAGCACCTCATTTCCAATAAGGCTACTGGCTTCCAGGGTCTCATAAATAGCAAGCCTTGGGGAGGATCTGGGCTTTGCGTTGTTGCTACATACTGATTTGTATTCTGAACTAGTATTGAGAATACACAGTCATCCCAGAAATGTTGGAATCAGTTAAAAGGTGTTGTTTCTTGCCCTTCCTGTGGTCTCTCAATTTTTGACCTTGCCTCATAAGGATCAAATCTATGCTCTAAGGGAACAAATATATCAGGAATTTTTGGTCTTCAAGTCAATTGATCCTCGATATCAGTATGCACTTTGACCTGAGTGGCATCTATCAATTTAGCTCTTCTCAGCTTTCTGGTACTTTTCTGTTGGTCATCAGTTTACTTTTTTCGAGTTCTGGATCTTGCTGCTGATCGTATGTTGTTTGAAATTCTGCGGAGCGGCTTGTATGATGGCATTTCGATGAGAATTTCTGAATTATCTACTGTAAACTATCTACCTATCTTAACTGTTAATATTCTGACTTCACTGACTAATTCTGTCTTAGACAGTGTTTAAGATATTAATAGGGTTGGCATTAAATTTTCCATTGTTACACTGGTCAAGGAGATATCTGCCCTCTCATAAATATCCCTGTAAATTGAGGCATCAGCTCAACATAGGTTTAGTTTGCCAAGTTAACAAGCCAAAAACAGGGATTAGGGGGAGCCGGAGATGGTGGATTTCACGAGATTTTACGGTGATTACCCAGCAGCCTGTGATCTACTTTAGGTTAGCTCTCACCATTATTGTTCGGTAGGCTATGTGCAAGTACATACCTGAGCTGGAGGATGGCGAGAATGACATATAGTGCAAGAAGGCATAAGTGTCAACCTCATTTCTGGGGGTTTTCAATTAAACATCACCCACCCAATAGTAGTCTAACTTAGGTAAGAAAAAATGTAGAAATATAGAGCAGGTGAAGTAGAATAAAAATACATTTTTTTAATTTAGTAGAAGCAAGTATCAGGAGTGGCATCCTTGATTGGAAAATTGAATTTTTAGTCTATAATCTGTGGATTGGTATTGAAATGCAACATACAATTGCTGAGTAATTATAAATTTAGCATGTATGGTTCCTGCCATTCAAAAAGGGGACCTGAAATTTGCTGTTTTTCAAATCCTTAAGGATACACAACTACAAACCTGATTGCAAAAAAAAAAACCTGTTTACTGAAAGAGAAGATGAAG